GTTTCCGCAGAAGCCGCTTCTACGAGACCATTGTGAAAGTCACATTTTCCTTTTAAATCCCTGCCCTGCACTGTCCTGGCCATCAGCATTAACGCCTGAGCTCAAGGCCGTGCGGATCAATATTAATTGTAGTGCAAGTTGGGTGTTATACTGTAGGTCAAGGCTCCTCTCTATAAATCACCAGCTGAAAGGTGACTGTCTGGGTCTCCACAGGTTCTCCAGCCCTCCCCTCTTCTGTGTGTTAATACTGTGACCTGCTGGTCCAAGAATGATTTATTTACTGCCTCTGATCTGGTAAATATTGACCAGAGCAGAAAGTGGGGCAAGAAGACATAAATGTTAAAACATATATTATGCAAGGTTCACCGCTGATCTGTGAAGTCCTGTTAAAATGCTTTATGGAAAAAGAAAAAAACCTTGCAGGCTAAATTGAAGCATTGAGCTTTTCATTAAATTTGACACTCCTAAAGGGCAGATTTTACTTAAAAATTCTGCAGAAGATTGATTTATTTTGAATTATGGGTAATCTACAAGTTGATCATCTGTGCAGTGTCCTTTATAAGACGTAATTCGATTTAAATCCAGTCGTTACATTGCACAACTGAACGAACAGACAATTCAACACATCTGTGTCAATTTTGTTGTTTCTCTTTTTTAAGGCTTTTTTTTCACCCGTGGCGGAGTGGAAAGATGACCTTTCTGGACCCCTCAGAGGTTACTCTCACCTCCCACATGGTCATCTGCTGCTGAGCTAATGGTGGGTTTGGAAGACCAGACACACACGTACTTGCCACTCACTGCCTGATTGCATTAGGTCCCTGGGGCTGCTTGGAAAACACAAGGTGAATCCAGTCCGCAACACGCAGCGCTCGGTTTATCTCGCCAATCAGTAAGCTGAGCTAGTGCACTCTGGCTGGAATAAAAAGAAATAAAAGATACTGGCTGCACGAGTTTTATATAATCAGTCCAGATTTGGGATCAATACTGGTAGCTGGCGGCTGAACAATCTTGGCCGTCCAAACTCCGTGCACTCCTCATTGGTCTGTCTGACAGCCTAAATGGCAGAAAACAATGTGTAGACAATGATAGATCTTTAAATCTTATCCGCTACTGGGCAGACCTGCATTAAACAGGAGCACCTAAAATGGTCAATGCATTGATTGATGAGCTAGTGAGCCATTAAAAGGGAGCAGCTACTCCACAGAATTACAGTAGGCCTGTAGAATTACACTAAATTTAGTTGGTGCATCGCTTTTGAATGCATCGGCCTGCACCACCTAGTGGAAGGCTCAAGCTGTTCTTATATACAGAACATGGGCAGAGTGTTTCCAGCTCAACACAGCAACAACAGTCAGTTTCATCATAATCACATTTCACAGATTTGAGCTGTGACACTTTTCAAAGCTGCCTCTGGATGTTACTTTTGTTTTGACTTTTATGCTTGATCCTTGCCTTCAATTTTCATGTGCTGCTTGAAGGTATCAAAACACTTAAAAATGCATCATTTAACAGTAAACCAAGTTTACGCTCTTACTTATTTCCAAGCAGAGATCTCACATCTCTCATATTACTTATTTTCTTTATTACGGATTAAAGGGGATAATGACTGCCTACTACACAAGAGGAAACCTCCAGAGCTGCAAACACAGAAGAGGTAAAAAGTGCAGTTCATCAAGGTGATACTTAGAGGCTGGCCCCAAAAGGGAGTCCGTATAGGGTATGATTTTTTTTTCTCCACAGTTTAGAAAAACTCCTCCACAACAGCTAATCAAGTCAAGAACACTCTCGTGGACGTAGGCATATCATTGTCAAAGTCTACAATCAAGAGATGCCTTCATGAATGGACTTACAGAGGGTTTCCAACAAGGTGCAAAGCACTGGTTACACTCAAGGACGGATGAGACTTTGGCAGAAAGAATAATAACCCAAAGTATTCTGCAAAAGTAACTCAGGAGTTTCTTGCTAGAAAATAAACGGCCGAGTCAGTCATCTGATCTCAGAGTTCTAGACTTCAAACAGTCATCGACTGCAAGTGATTTTCATCCAAGTATGAAAAGCAATCCTATGCGTTTGTCCAACTATTGAAATCCATGATGCATAATTATAATAATGAATTGTGATCGTTTCACTTGATTGAAAATCAAGCCAAAACAACAAAATTGTGTTAGTGCCTAACTGTATATGTTTTCGTTTTTTTCCTTTTTTCCACCTCACCTGATCCAAAGTTGTCTGGGACACCGAGTAGTCCTCCACACGCAGCCTCCGCTGATGCCTGGTGAACTGGCTGAAGATATTGGCCAAAGCTCCCTGTGCGTGTGGGAACTGATACTGCAATGTGTTGTGATGCTTCTCTTTGAGAACGCTGCCCGGAAAGGTCTTCTGGACGAAGTCCTCAACTGGCTTCAGTGCGGGCGGAGAGCCACCGACCCTCACAATCACAGTGTAGCCATCACCAAATCTAAAAAAAGAGAGGTCAGTATGACACATTTAGTGCCAGACAAAAAAGAGAAGAGCTGCAAACAAGCATGTTAGTGCCAAATAATGATCTCTCCTCTCCTGTGGTCATGCCATAGTGCGACAGAGAACAGGGATGTGTACTAGAACAAACAGACGTGCCAGGAAGGAGAAGGAATATAAATGAAGTATTCAAAAAGGTAATTGCGCTCATGTTTCCCCAGACATTTCTAGCTTCCTGGATTAAGTAAGCAGGAGGAGCAGGTGAGTCAGACACAGCGAACCGCAAAGCCAGCTCAACTTTAACAAGTATGTTGGTAGCGGATAGAAAAAAATGTATTTTCCAAATTATGTGTGTAACTAATATAAAAGAAAGCATTAATTTGGTTGACAAAGTGCTGCCATGCCATGCTGCCCCCCATAGACTCTTTTAGCATCTTTCTGCTAAATGATTTGATTTCACTGCCTGCCACGTCACTATTTTGGTTCAGTTTCACTGCTCTCAGCAACCTTGCACCAAATGAGAATCTGTTTTCAGCCAGGAAGCTGTGACACATTACCAACCCAGCATCAAGTAGAGAGGGTAAGCCACGAGCATCGAGCGGCTAAAGAGACAGCGATTTCCCTCAGGAAGTTGCTGCAGAACAAAACGGAGGTAAAGGAGATTCATTATGACACTTCTGATGACACCTCTGATGACTCACACGTGTCTTCTGGGCGCTTAAATATCCAGTGAACTGTTTGTATTGTTTGGTAACAATTCTGGATATGGTCTTAATGAGCTTGTTTGTTTTGCTAACTGTAAAATGGCAGTGCGTGAAAATAAATAATTAAATGCTTCTTTAATAATCGGAACATACAAGCTTTGTCTAAAGCATGCTGAGAAAAACAGCAAAATAAGTCATCATACATGAGAGGGTACATTAAAAAAAGTATGCTCCACTGAGCAGTCAGCATGCCATTTTTGAAAATGTGTCAGAATGCAACACCGCTACGAACAATATCCTGGACATAAAGTGTTGGCACAAATGAAAATGGGTCATAGCTAAGCTCTAAAGTTAATTAGCATTCTACATCTTTCCGAATGTGTGCTGTGTCTGGTGAGCACCAAATAAAACTCTGTGCCTTGTTATTCTGTCGTTAGCACTCTGATGACCCATTGTTTTCTGCCTAATTAATTCCCTAATGTTGGATTTACTCATGGAAACGTCCATGGCGGCTAGCGGGAAGCTACATGCAATTAAAGTCAGGGGCTCCCTTAGTGACAATTAGAGATATGGTGAATAAACTACAGGCCTACATGCTCCCAGAGAGACAGGAAGCAAAGTTCTGTGCTAGTTCTGAGAAATGCATCGCACACCCAGGATGGGTTGCAGCACACCTTCACTTAAATCATTCTCAGTTGAGGAGCCACAGTCCAGGCCTGATGCAACTTTGTATAAATTATTGATGGCAACTCTTATTTAATACTCATTTTCATTAAGAATGCATAAGAGTTTCTAATGCTCCTTTCAAAAGTGGGTCTTATCACAGCAAGGACTCAGTTAAGCCACATACTGCAATGCTATGGCGCATGCTAGCATGTTGTCCGTCCACAATAACAACAACAACAGCCTCCATCCAACCAACCGACCAACAGGGAGGATCTGAGAACTGTGCCTGTGCTGTGATCTCCTCAGGGGCTGCACACCACGGGTGATCAAAAGCATCCCCATGTATCTCTAAAACATATTATGTAGTGCACTGCATGTGGATAGTACAGTGGGTGGCTTACAAGTATCAGCGTGTTACTGCTTGGGCAACCCTTTGACCATTCAAGATGTTACTCCACACTGGATTAATCCCTGCTCTCAGCCCTGCTATGAAATACTTTGCTTTTGCTAAGCATCTATTTGGTTCTTTCCACCATGAAAGGTTCATACAAAACTGGCTGTTTCACAGATTAATAGTTTTTAATAGTCAGTCGTGTGAAAACCCAAGTGTACTTATCTTGGCCAAGTGCTGAGCCCAAAGACTAACTGTGAATCTGCTCGCCAAGAGATCCGGTTAAAAATGTGTATGTTTTCATCCCACATTGGCTTTCTGTAAGCTACAGAGGACTCGCGTGCTGTAGTGTGAGTCCTCTGGGTGCTTAGATTATTTGCAGCTTCTAATGTGAAACAAATGTTTTCCTCACAATCCCTGCGTAAGAATAACATAATGTCACCACGCTCTGCTCCTCTAGAGTGTGCACGATCAAGCTGGACAGCATTACAATCCTGTTATTATGGGATTAGTTAATAACCCCACCACCCCACTCCTCCCTCTAAAACCCTCAGTGCTGTTGAAGATTGTAAAGACTAGAATTTACAGTTAAATTTAATTATGGGCTATGTTATTCTGTAAATACAATAGAATAAAATACCATAGTTCTTATGCATATAACTGTCTGTCTTGTCTCCCTCCTCTCACCCTCAAACAGTCGGGATAGATGGCCCTGCTCCTCCCTGAGCCTGGTTCTGCCAGAGGTTGCTTCCTGTTAAAAGGGAGTTTTTCCTTCCCACTGTCACCAAGCACTTTTTGGGGGGTTTCTCTGTATTATTGTAGCGTCTTTACCTTATAACATAAAGCACCTTGAATTAAACTATTCTTCAGCATGGTTACTGGTGTCCCCAAGAGAGAAACTAGTATAGCACAACTTGGCTCATTTTTATAAACAACAGTCTGCACATGCATATATAGTATGTCCAAGGATTCTTGGTAACTGAAGTTGCTTTGGTGTCCATTTGTAGTCCAAGTACCATGAGCCTATAACGTTTGACCAGGCTTTCAGGCTCAGCTCATATTGTCAAGTCTGTGACCACAATCTCTGCGTGTTTATTGTATCGAGCAGCCAAGATGCAAAAACATTTTTTTTGCAAAGATCCAACAGGCCAAGAAAGCATTTAGGTGAATAGTTTACAGTAATGACAGAGATAAAAAGCCTTATGAATTATCTCCCCCCCCCCATTCTCACTCTCTTTGTCTTTCCTTCGTTGCAGGAGCAACACAGAAGCTACGGGCAGTACTTTGTATAAAAACCCCACAAAGACCAAACCAGCATTTCTCTGTTTCTGTATTCACATCAAAACAAGCTATTTAATCTCTGATACAATGTCTGTCTCGGCTTTCCTCAATTAAACTCTGGCTGCGTTGGGGGAAAGGTAAGCTCAGCTATCAACAAACAGAGCTTGCACTGCTTGGCGTGGTCATAACAATGGCGCTGCATGTGTGAAACAATAATTAACTTTAAACTGGCGACATAAAGACTAAAAGCGAGATCTGTGCTACTTGGGGTTGAATATAGCTCGCGAGAAAATAATGAAGGGATTATATTTACAGTCATGACTGCACCACTTTGTCACAGCTAATCCTTTCATAATATTTTACATTAGAGATACGATACAGCGGCGCAACACGGCATGGCAGAGCCGCTGTAATGTCTGCGGCGCAGTTCTCGCTTCTTCATTTTCATTATTCTGCCTCGATCCTCTCCTTCGCCCTGGTCCGCTGGAAAGTCGTTCTTCCGTGTAATTTAAAACAAACAACAGCCAGACACAGATAAGGGCATGACAGGCAGGAAATAATTTGGCTGCCTTACTTCATCTGAGGGAGTCTGGAAAGGTCACCCTCACCACTGCCAAACCTTGTATTTGTGTCCGCGGGGTGGGGGTGGGGGGAATGGAGGGCTTGAGGTCACGTTATGGCTCGGGTGGTCTGATGCTTTGATCAGGCAGGAAGTCATCCAAAAAAGTTTCTTAGCTCCTGGAGGAGAAGCTAATAGAGCTCGAGGCAGAGGCTCCATTAACAGTGTAAGGACAGAGGGATGCATGGGCAATCTCTGTCCAGTTAAACTGCAGTTTAGGGAGGCATAAAAAAATAGAAGTGACAAAAAATATCGAACCTACTGTAAATTTGAGTCCCCCTTAGTAATTTTCTTTGCCGAAAACAAAACAAACAAAAGTCAAAAGAATAAATCAGCATAATGTGAATATATTACCTTTCTCATAAAATACATTTCAAAGCCTGTATCAAACATGCACTGTTTATATCCGTGTTTGCTTGCTAATATTCTTTTTCAATTTGCAAAGTGTATTTTCCTGTCTGTAGATGTGTATCGTTGCTTGTGTGCTAACAGAGCACATGATGACACTGCAGTATCCTCATGTTTAAAATTAAGACCTGAACGGGAGCTTCTGTTGGCTGTGTGCATGCATGCAGACAAGGAAACTGGGATTTTTAAGTTACTGCTGTAGATGGAATAGTGCGCTGTGGATCTCTTATACGATACTTATATATATACCGAGTATATACACCGATCAGGCTTTAACATTATGGCCTTTTTTAGTGACGTTAATAACACTGATTATGTCTTCATTGTGGCACCTGGATATATTAGAATATTTTGTCCTGAAAGTTGCTGCTATAAGCTGGGAAAATGGCAATCATGAGGATTTAGGCGAGTTGTGATGGCTCAACGACTGAGTCAGAGTATCTGACTGAAGCTCTTGTGAGATTTTCTTCATCTGCTCTGATGAATCATTTTAACTTTTACATCATGTGGATGCATCTCTTACCTGGAGAACACCTGACACCAGGATGCACTATGGGAAGAATGCAAGTAGGTGGAGGCAGTGTGATGCGTTGGGCAATGTGCTACCGGGAAACCTTGGGTCCTGCCATCCATGTGGTTGTTACTTTGACACCACCTACCTAAGCATTGTTGGAGACCATGATCATACACACACCTGAAGAGCCCACTTGTTCAGGAATGGTTTGAGGAGACTATGGGGGCTTTGAGGTGTTGACTTGGCCTCCAAATTCCCCAGACCCTAATCGAGCATTTGTGTGATGTACTAGACAAACAGGTCTAGGTCCATGGAGGCTCCACCTCACAACTTACAGGACTTAAAGCAGTGGTGTCCAAACC